TATATATATATATATATATATACACACACACACACACATACATACACACACATAATTCTGTGACAGAGATGAGAGGAGAGAGATCTCAGTCTAAACCTCAAGACCGTGATTTATGAACTAGTAGTCCATGCATAATATAAGGGGCCTACAAGCACGCTGAGATTTTTCACACCTTTGTGAGATTAATATCAAAGTTTCAGCTCTCTACCATGGTCATTACCAAAGCATAATCACATGTACAAAGAAACTGTGACATATCGGGATTATTCCACCAAAGCAGAGGGGGAAAATACAATAGATAGTTTCCTAAACTCCAGTGTGTGTCCTTTAAAATTCCAGAAAATGCTAATCACTACAGTAATGATATCCTTTCCACTGGGGCACTTTATTCAACATGATTCAGCCAAGATGTATTGCTCATGCCTATAACAGTAGGTCACCATATGGCTCGCATCTGGCTTTATGGAAATACTCCATTTCATTTTCCTACTTATTTTGTTTTGTTTTGTTTTATTGTAGGGAAGGGAGATTTCCAAGGCTGCATCAAGCAGGAATAAGGGTGCAAATAGTTCTGTAATCCCCATTAACCACCATCTCAAGAACTTCACTCAGGGGCTATGCAGATGGGCAGGAAAAGGTGACCTGAAGTTGCCTTTTCCCTAAGCTGCAGCAACCGCACTGCCTGCCCTGAGGATGCCCTAAATGGGGATGGAGCAGTTGCACTGGAGAGCAGTCAACACAGATTTTCTGAGGCTGTATTGAAGCGCCAGCAACCACAATGCCAGCCCCAAGGATGCTGCAAAGTGAGACAGAGCAACTGCATGGGCTGGCAGCGGCTGCTTTAATTCTTTTTGTTCTCAAATGCATGTGCACGTGCTCAGGATGAGCCCTCCACACCAGTGCATCTGTGCAGGAAAACATCCTGCGCACCTGCACAGGACCTGTTATAGGTTGGTATACAGTCTGTCACTCTCTGTGCACAAAGGTGACTGAAGTTGGACATCCCTGTGCACCTGCACAGGATGTCATACACCCACATATCATGCAAGGATTCACTGACCTCAGCTTCCCCCAAGAAGTGGGTGCAGTAGACAGGTGCCACTGTCTGATTGTGCCACCCTTGGGGTGAAGGAACGGGTTTGTCAACTGAAAAGACACTCCACCATCCTCCACAAAACATGTCCCACACAGATCAGGGGGGAGAGGAGAGGTACATTCAAGGGAGGTTTGTGTGGACAGACTTGGTACATGCGGCTGGTGGTCATGCAAGGGACATGGTCAACAGGACACATGGACAAACATTACTCCAGGAGCCCCTCCCCCAATCATGCCAGGAAGTGGTGTGCAGGTCTTATGCACACTTGCACACTTGCAGAGAAGAGATCACAAAAGCCTCTTTCATGCAAACTGCTGTGCATGCTGACAGCAAGCATACATCCAACAGAATGCATTTATTGTCATAACAGAGGACAGCTGCTAGGGCACATGAGTAGGGTTACAATTAGGGTTCGGGTTAGGGTTCTAATATTCAAGCACACCTGTACCAGTGCATTCACACCTGGAAACATAGGGTGCTTTAAATTAAAGCTTGCATCGTAGGGCGCATACTCTGGATCTCCGGGATATTTTGATTGGGAGTTCCTGCATAGCAGGGGGTTGGACTGGATGGCCCTTGTGGTCTCTTCCAACTCTATGATTCTATGATTCTATGATTCTATGAGTCAATTTCTGCCGCACGCATGACAGTATATTTATATGGCCGTTTTCTGGCACATCAGTGCATCTTCACCGAAGGAGCGGAAAAAAGCGGCTCCTTTTTGGAGTGGCTTTTCTCATCATACGACGGCTAGAGGGCATTTTCCTGGAGACTTTTAGGCATGCGTCATCTAAAGGCCACACCTACAAGTCACTCTCAAAGCACACTTTTTGCCCATCTGCATAGTCCCTCAGTTAAATTGACAATCCCTATACATGTGGATATAAGGTGCAAGCAAAGAGCCATATCATTTTGCTACAGTAAGAATTCTTCCTTTTAGTTTTTTTTTTAAATCCTGTGTTTTAAAACATGAAGCATTTTAAACTAATAAAGGTTGCATTTTAGAAATATGGGTCTTTCTAATAAAAAAAACCTACAGAAACATGTAGACTTTATTGTCTATATTTAGAGTTCTTTGGCTTTAGCAGCTTTCAGCTGGAGTTAAAGGAAATACTTTTCTATAGTCGTATGTTATGTCTGACAAAGCTGCCAAGGCAGCTACAGCATTTACTCCAAGTTTCTAAATAGCTTTTATCCAATGGGGAAAAGTGAGTCTACCTTCAGATGCCTAAGAAATGAGCACATCT